CCCCCCCCCCCCCCCCCCACACACACAGACACACACAAACGGCAGGCTGCCACACTTGCTGGTCGGTCTTTCTGTGGTGTGGTGGCGATGTCAGTGAATCGCACGATCGTGATGCCGATTCCCGAGTCGGCCACAGCGGTGCCTGCGCCGCCTTCTCGCATGTCGACGAGGAAGCTGCCCGACGCGGCCCCGTCGATCCCCGAGAACAACCCGGCCGACTTCAAGTCGATGCCCACCATGCGCAGCACCACCGGCCTCAGCGAGGGCACATCGCTGCCGCCCTTCACATTCGATCGCAGGCTGCGCTCGGCCGGGGTGGCCCTCCATGACTTCCAAGTATGCACACCGCAGACATGAGACCATGGTATGTACCAGGGTGTGTGTCCTTCTGTCAGTTGAATCTGAGTTACGTGGTGGACGACCTCCTTCGGCGTCAGCAGATAGCGGAGGGTCTGCTGCAGCAACAGGACACTGACGGCGGCAGCACGCTAGAAGGGGCCGAGGGAGTGGGTGATTGGCGCACACTGTACGAGTCCTTCAGGAGAGCCAAGCGATCCCTCATACAGGCGGGAACCAACCCGGTAAGTACGCACACGCATGTGCCAACATACCAACACACACACACACACTCGTGTCAATGTCTCTGCGTGTGTGTGTGTGTGTGTGTGGTCAGCGAGAGGTGTCCAAGGCCATCCGTCGCATAGCGAGCAACACGGCCTTGACCAGCAGCCGCGCCACCGACGAGCTGACCGTCGCCACCCCACCGCTAGCCAGCAATATCAGCCGATCCCGCTCCTTCCCCAACCCCCCGTTCACACCTGCACCACACACGGCATCAGCAGGGGCCGTGCTACCCTCACACACAGAGATCATGGCCGATGTGGAAGTCGACTCTGCGGCTGTGGACACCCTCACGGCCGCTGTGGAGACCTTCGCAGACACAGCCAGCGGACGGCTCCGTGATCCCTTCGAGTTCGCTCCCCCCGAGACCACCTCCCGCCCCGAGTCGGTGATGGGTTCGATCACACCACCCCGCCCGCCCTCCCCGCCCCGGCCCCCACCGCTGCGGTCCTTCACATCAACCCCATCCATGCCCTACAGCGACTTCTTTGATTTTGCCAACAGGGTCTACAGAGGGGCATAGATAGCATCGCAGTGAAATAAGTGAGCGACGGGGGTGCAAGTGCAGTGCACAGAGAGAGGGAGCAGGGGAGCCGGATGGTATGGGATGGGTGGGGGTGGGGTGCATTCATTGCATTCGTTCATTCCTTGTGTATGTAATTGATTGAAGCTTAATGCATCGGTTGTGTTTTGTATCCGTGTGCATGACATGAATTGGTGCGTCCGTACAGTGAGTACATACGTATGTCTGAGGGTCGGTTGGATTGGGGGCGTGACTGACATGAATGACATTGATTGCATCTGTTCTCTTCCGGATCGTCATCGGGCGGGGTGTGTGTCGACACGCCCCGCCTGACAACGACCCGGGAAGGAGCGACTGCAGCCCGGCCCGTCAGCCAACAGCTGACGTCGTGTAATGAATCTCCCTATCTATCTCTCTCTGTCTCCAAATTGGTGTCGGTGCGCACACGTGCCGACCTGTGTGCTGTGCGTGTCCATGCTCTCACTTATGGACGAGGAGCGTCACGTCGGGTTGGTTATTTGCATATTTCTTTGTGGGGGTAACAAATGTTATGGATGGCTTTGTTCGTGCATGTCATGTTATGTCGTGTCGTGTCGTGTCGTGTGTGCTCTGCTGTGCCCCTAGTCAATTGATTGATTGCGTCGTGGATCGGATCGATAGCCATATTGTCGACCTTCGTGGGGTGCGTGTGCGTGTGTGCGGTAGTTCATTTGGTTTTCATGTATGGCTGGGGGGTTGGTGGTAGGTAGGTAGGTAGGTCGATGGCTTTGGCCAGTTGGCCGGCGCGGCTCGGTGGGTGGGTGACGACCACGCATTGTCCGTCATTTTGTAAGTCGGTGCACATAACTGACATGCACACATTACATACACACATGTCTCTAGGACTGATCCTTAGCTATCGATGTGGAGGGTGGGTGGTGGTCACTCAACTCACCCTTTTATATATAGGCTGACCGGCTCCCTGTCTTATCTACCTACACACCCACCTACCTGCCCGTCTGTCTGTCTATCTGTCTGTCTGTCTGTCCGTCTGTCTGTCTGTACGTCTGTCTCTCTGCCTATGTGGTGTGCCGTGCGCTACGTGACCATCCAGCCAGCCACCCACCGATGCGATCGATGGATGGATGTTCTGATGGAGGATGCGAGGCGAGGCGATGCGTAGGGAGGTTTTCGTTCGTCCAGTGTGTCGCCCAGAGGGATACATACATCCTCCCGCTTTCTCCCCTCCCTCTCTCCCTCCTTTGGCTTTCCCCTCCCCTCCCCTCCTCTCCTCTCTCCCTCTAGCCATGCAGGAGTTGTTATCATACCAGCTACATGGCCTAGCATACATGTGTGTGTGTGTCTGTCTGTCTGTCTGCATGATGCTCTCGACCAACACGGCTGAGACACCTTGGCTGACGTACAGACATCCGTACGATCGTACACGTACCGATGTACTTTTCTGTGAGCGTGTTGTGTGGCTTGGCTTGGGTGGGTGCATGTGTGTGTGCATGTGTGTGTGTGTGTGTGTGTGTGCGCCATCTATCCTATCGCATGTGCGAGTGACAGACAGACAGACTGACAGAGTGGTCGCGTCGCAAGTGACAGGACTCGTTGATTCGATTCTCTCTCAACAACATGACATGCCGCTACAAATATGTCCTGAAAACGCCCTACACACTAGCTACTTTCTTTCACAAGCAGAATCTGCCTCACCTACATTATCCACCCATCCATCCATGCCATTCATCTAGACGTGCTTCTCCCACGGCCTCTCGTCTGACTCCCGCCATGCAGCTGCCAAATAATTCCTGTGTCTCCTGTGATGAGCCGCCGCCGACGAAGGGACCCGCGGCGCTAGCAACAATCCGTGGTTCCGCAACAGCATGTCCTCGGCAGCAAAGTAGCGCCACAGCCCCTCGGCCACGTGGCCGCTCAACTGCTTGTGGCTCTTGGAGGTCAGGGTGGGGCATGACTCCACCGTCCGCATCAATGCCCGCTTCTCCATGTGCGCGAATGGGCTGCTGCTGGTCTTCTTTCGCCTGGTGCGGTAGTCGATGGACACGTCCGGCGTGCGCCGCTTGGACTCTTTTGCCTTCTTGTCCTTCTCTGAGTGAGCACTGCCGGGGGCCGTCAGCGCCTGCTGCTCAGCTATGGCGGTGAACGGCACCCCCAGACCCTTACGGATTTCCTCCTTGATGTTGGCCACCTCCTGTTGATTGACAACACAACACACAGCCCGACGAACGGATAGATAGATGGATGGATGGCGGGGGCAGAGAGGATGTGTACGTCCGTCCGTTGTGTACTCACTCACTCGTTTAAGCGGGGAAAAATTCTGCGTGATGAGTCTTCTGGTGCTGCTGTCGACGGCGTACATGGCACTGCCTCGCACGGGAGTGGCCTTTGCCGATGCACGCACCTCAGGCACTACAACCAACACACCCGACAGGAAACACGGGACACGTTGCATCATGCGGCTGCCATGCATTAAGCGTGGCTACTTACTTCCAGAGTCGAGCAGAGCGTCCTTTATCTCCTGTATGGTGATGTATCCTTTGAAGTTGTTGTCGATGGCGTGAAACAGCTCGTAGACGTCGCTCTGCTTGATGTCAAGGTCCAGCGAACTCAGCCAGGCGTCGAAATCCTCTGGCAGCAACTTCCGCTTCAGAGCTGCATCGACAACGCCAAAAGGAAGGTATTATAGGTCTCTACGACACGCAGAGGATTCATTCCATGAACCCACCTTGCTGTTTGTCTGCCGTGCCTGCCCATGCGAGCTGGAGCGTGGTGAGGACATTTTGGACGGTGTGGAACTTCTGTGTCAGTTGCCCCGTCCATTCCGCAACCACAGTGGATGGCGCAAATATCTGCAGAGCATTGAGAAACCTGGGACAGCAAGGGAGGAGAGACATGGCGTATTATGGTCTGCAATGAGCGGATTATCTGCACTGTTCGCTCACTCTTCGATGGTTACCTCCCCATTGCCATCCTCGTCCATCACTACATCACACCCACAAGCCAGAAACGGGTGTCTCCCTCCGTTGCCCAAGCTGCGTGTGTGCCGTACGTACATTCAAAGAGTGTCCTGGATTGCTCGGCGTTGATGTCCATCTGCCTCATGACCTGCTCGAACTCACTCGCATCAAGAGCCAAATTGCCGTCCTTATTACAAAGAGACAGACACATGGGCCACCAGTCAGGCCATCCATCAACGGGTGTCCAATGTTTGTTTCTCATCAATGGAAGTGCTCACCCACCTGATCCATTGATTGGAATGCATCCCTCACATGCTTAAAGCGCTTCAGCAAGTCACGATGGAAGTCCTCGAGAGTGACCGATGGCGCAGCGAGCCTGAGTGTCCTGGCGAGCTCAGCCCCCTGCAGCATCCCCTGTCCCTTGTCGTTTATGACCGAGAAAATCCTCCTTAGCGCCTCTGGCTCCAAATTGATGTCACTGAAGCGCTTCTGAAAGTCATCGTAGGCCAAAAGCGTCATCTGACGGCACATATGCAGACGGGTCGACAGACCGCCCGGGCGCTGTTCCGGAAATGATGGGCCACGTACCGCCTTTATCTTGTGTGCTTTAAGGGCCTCATCAATTGAGCTTGCCCCGTGGACCTGAAGCAAATTTGCACGAAACTCCTCCAATAACGTCAGTGCTGAACGAAGGCCAAATGCAGCCGACTGTGGAAACCACTCGTTGTCTCTGGTCATGTGCATTTTCACTTACGAGGGACGCGACTAAGCGCAGTAAAGAAGGTGTTGAGTGTGACTTTGATCTTCCGCCCCGCCGCCGATCCGTGGCGTCCAGATGGTGAGAGGTCGGGGCCCTGTCCTGTCTCGTTCGGAAAAAAGGATGGCGCTGTCATTAGCTGGGAGCTGACGGGTGACCTCTCCAGGTCAGTCTGCAGCAGCTCGAAGATGATTTGGGTCTCCTGGGAAGTCGCGTTCAGCAAGTATTTGAAGACGACGGAGAACTCATCCGCGGAGAAGTCTTCATTCAAAGGGAACTTGCTGTTGTGTACGGCCTGGATTGAGAGCGGATGCGTGTACAGCCAAGCCATGTATATTATATTTCCGTGCCCACCTGCACGACACTTCCTTGTCTTTCCAGGAGCCTCTTTCGACACTCCAGAAATACTTGAGCTGAAAGGAAAAAGTATAAACGAAACGCATTTAGTGTGTCCCAGCCAGCTGTCTCCTGTCTCACCCGGCATCCTATCCAGTTCTCCAGTCAAGTCTCTCAGAGTCGGCTTTGTCTTCTGGCTGGTCTTCACCAGCATCTCGAAGCACTCTTGAAACAGGTCGACGTTGAGGCTGCCGGCGGCTTGCGGCACCGCTCGGCGCATCCTTCTCGCCTTTGCCACAGGGCTGGAATCTGGGCTGCCGGATGGGCTGCTGATGGGGGAGGGCAGCAGCGGCTGCAATAGGGTAGAAAGGGCGGCGATGAACTCGTCCTGCAAAAGACGTGGCAACAGACGACACGTCACATCACATCACATCACATCCATTGCATTCAGTCTTGTCCTTTCCTTGTTTAGCGGAGCTTCAGGGACAATCTTGGCGGTCTTCAGCACCCAGGACTGCAACGCTTCACCAAGCGTGTTGTACAGATACCGCAGGGCCCGACGAATCGACCCGAATACAACAGACTCTGAAGGCACCCACGAAATACATTCCCACACGTGGATTTGCAGGCGCCCTCTGCTCTCACCGAGACTGAGGGCGGTTTTACAGCCTTGCCCCTGTGTGCGCTGATCGTCTACCCGGATCGGTCGCTTCCGCTGCGTCCTGTGTTGCCTAGCTTCTCGCAAGGCGGTAGTGAATTCCTTTGTTCCCATCTTTCTTGTCTGTGCCTGCAAATAAAGAAGAGCCATAAAAAAGGTCTGACTAGTCCCGGTGAAAGTGCTCTTGCCTACCAGGCTATCCAGATCCCCTGTCCCGACTCTGCTTGCACTCTGGCCAAGATGTTGCAGCGACGATGGTAGTCTTGAAGGCACTCTCGATAATGTCCCTTTGGATGATGCCATTCTCGATAGTGTTCCCTTAGACCTTACCGCCTCCCTTGAATCGCTCGGCAGTGCATCAGGCCGCTCTATTTGCACGTCTTTGGTCGTCGCACGCTCTGCAGGCGGTGCAGGAGGCTCCGTCACCTCCGGCTCCATAATGCGAGTCTTCTTTTTCTCGAGGGGTACGGGGGAGGGGCGTCGGGTCGGCGAGTGATCGGGTGACCGTCTCCTTGCCGCTTTTGGACTGCTTTCGGGCGTCTCGGCTGGTAACATCTCACCGAGCAAATCCTTCATCTGAGCCTCAAACCTTGCAAGTGAGGGAAACCCTCTGTCGCCCATAATGCCAACAGTCTTCTTCCTTTCCAGCACCGACCCCTTGGCAGCCCTTGCCTTTCTCGTGGCCATACCGGGCGGGGTCACCAGCCGGGCTTCGGGCGAGGGAAGAATGTGAGGCGGGAGCTGCGGCTGGGGCGAGAGCGGCTGGATTTGGAAGATGTTGGTCACCCATGTTGTGGTCTTGGGCATCATCTGTTCGCCCTGCTCCGTGTCCTCTAAGCTCATGTGGAGGTCGGACCGCCGCCGCACCTCACTTTCTCTCCGTTCCTCAGGAGCCTGCTTCTGAGCGATGGATGGGTCCATATGGATCTCAACGCCGGCCTGTTGACCGGCTGTTGACAGTATTAGGAAGACAACACGAGAAGAAACTGTTGTGGGAGACGTGTGAGGCCTTCGTTTGCGTACCAAGCTTGAGAATCTGGTCATGTCGTCTCAACAGGAGCCGCTGAGATACTGTCGGCCTCCTTCTGTTGATCTCCATTGACGCTCACTCGACAACGCTCTTCAAAGGCAGCAGGAGACTTGAAAAGCCGTCTGTCTGCGAGCTTAGCGCCGATTGCGCGTGTTTACGAGGGGCCGGCTGGGATCAGCTGTTTGCTTGTTAGCATGGGTGTTCGTCTTTTCCTGGGGCGAGGTGAATGCTTGGGTGGCTGACATTCGGTTTCGCCGCCACAATGCTGCTTCCCGGCTGGCATCTCCCCTCCCCAGCTCAGCCTCGTGTCACCCTCGCACCCAGCCCACAGCCAGCCCCATCGACAGCGTCTGTGCCCCAGGAAGACGAGTGCGACACGAAGAGTGTCTCGCACGTCGCCGAGACTGTGGAGGGGGCCTCTGCTGCTCCCGACCATCTCACGGGGACCGACCAGAAGGCGGATAGCGGGGGCTGAGGAAAAGAGAGGGCGTGTTTGCATCTGCGGGTTAATTGGTGGATCATGGTCGATATATGTCTCACCGTGTTTTCTGCAGAGAAGGACGCTTTTGGTTGATTCGCCTGGCGTAGATATATGGGTCACTGAATACGTACGTGTACGTGAGAACGGGACATTCGTTTACCGAATACATAGAGCAATGTCATTTCTGCCCTGTCTGGTACTCGGTCGCATGTGCGCGCTTCGTGACGTGCTCCTACCCACGCAAAAGGCTGATTGCAGTGAAGTGATTGTAACAGAAATCAGCTTTTCGGCATGACAGACACGCACGCGACGAAGCGGGCACTTGTGCAATCCCACAGTGCACGTGTCTCGCTTCCATCACACTATCATCCGTCTGTACCACATAACCAACCGTCGATGCCTCAACTACCTAAAGTACCTAACACACATAGAAACCTGCCTTCCAACTACAGCTCTTAAGACACGTCATCATCTTGCCACAACCCATACCGCCACAGACACGTCGCGTCGCATCACACCGCCCGCTCTCTATCCTGTCTGTCTATCAGTCACGCACTCACTGCATCAGAACTGCACAGGCATCCTGGGCGGCATCCTTCTTGAGTTGGACACCGAGCCCGGAAACCCGTAGCCAGCACTGTGTCCAAACAAGTCACCTGCACAAGATGAAAGAAAAACCAAGTGCGGTGCAGTGCATGACCACCACGATCGCACCGCACGTGGGTGTCTCTTCTGCCCGCTCACTCACTCACTCACCAGGGAAGCCCAAGTTGTCCCTCTCCTTTTCCACCTCACCGATGCCAGCATGTCTGTGCTGCCCAGTCTGCCCCGAAGGAAACCCCATCAGCCGATCAAGCGGATGACCACCGGCACCACCCTGACCAAACAGATCATTCAGTCCACCCCCCGCGCCGTCTGGGCTGCCGAACAGATCGCTCAACGGGTCTCGTCGCCTCCCTGATTGTCCGTGCGGCTGCTGCCAGAGGCTGTCGAAGCCAGGGAGGGATGCGTCATGCCGCCTTTGCTCCTCGTGTTGCGCTGCCTCCTGTCCGTCCGTGAGTTGAGCCAGGTGGTTCCTCTTGTCTTTGCCGAGGGATGAGAGGAGCTTCTGCAGCTGGTCTTCTACAGAGCCTGATGACGCTGGCGAGCCGAAGCCCCTGTCATGTGGAGATGAGCGGTCCCTCCTGCCCCGCCCGAAAAGTCTCTCCAGATCTTCGAGCATATCGGTCTTCTTGTCAGCAGCAGCAGGTCTCCCATCGAGTGGTGTGCGACCAGCCATGTGCTCCGCATGCACAGCACCAACATCGTCGTGCACAGCCGCATCTGCTGGCCGGGCGCCCTCAGATGGTTGCTGTGGGGGCTGCTGTGCTGATTGTGCCGCCTGGTCGACAGATGGCTTGTCCACCTGTGCCCTCAGCTCGGCAGCAGGTAGATCGGCGACGGTCGTAGCGGCGCTGGCGGGCTGTTTCTTGCCATCAACGGCGGCTGCAGCGTGTTCTTTCTCCTTGGCAGCGTCCACCGGCTGTTCCTTGGATTGGTCGGAAGCAGGGGGAGGGGCAGCATTGACGTCTTGCTCAGGGTGGTCCGGGGCGACCGGCTCTCCCTCAATGAGCACGGGCACCTCCCCTCCTCCTTTTGTCTCCTCTTGAGCCGCGCCGCCCTTCTCACCCTCAGTCTGACTGCTGCCGATCTTGTCGGCTTGTGGCGGCGCGTCATGCTGTGTGTTGCTCTCAACCGCCGCTTCCACAGGTGGGGGTCTCGCGATACTTGGCATCCCGTCTCGTCGAAACGCCACATCTCCTCGGGCCACTGCTGCTGGTGCAGCTGGCGCTTCGTCGCCTCTGTCGATTGCCTTGCTGCCGTCTTGCTTCACCGGCGCACTCGACGACGCCGTGCTGCCGACAGCTCCTGCTGCCGCCTTGTCGTGTGCGGTGGCGCCTGCCGGCTCGTTGGGAAGGTGGGGTGCCGGCCGCCGTCTCAGAATGCCTTGGAAGGGGATGTGACTGTGGCTGCTGCCCCGCTCGCTGTCACTCTCAGCAGTGACGGATGCATCCTTGTGTGCACCGCGCTCTGACAGGACCTGAAGATCTTGGACAGCGGCGGCGGGAGGGGGAGGGGGAGGGGGAGGAGGAGGAGGAGGGGGAGGCTGCTGGGCCACAGGTGGCACGTGGACGCCTTGAGGGTCCGTCTTGCCGACTGGTGCCTCTGGTTGTTGGGGCGGTGGCAACTGCTGCTCCTCTGGCTGCTGATGTGCTTGTGGTTGTGGTTGTGCTTGCGCGTTTGGGTCTTCAGGTAGGCTGGCGCCCTTGCGCGCCTGGTGCGTGAGGTCTGTAGCCTTGACTAAGACGGTCCAGCGCTTCTGAGGGACGCCGTCCAGCATCTCCAGTGGAAGCTCACGGAAGCTCACGAACAAGTTGTAGTACAGGTACTGCGCACACAGAGCAAGACAACACAAGACAGCAGGGCGGAATGAGGCCGCCTGCCTTTGTATCTTGCATCACGTGAGTGACGTTGCCTGCCATGCAGAAGAAGAGGAAGCCGACGACGAGGTTCTTGATGGCGAAAGATTTGACTATCATCTTGCAGCCCTGATCTTCGCTGGGAGTGGGGCGACGTTTCACACCATTGCTGTTGCGAGCATGGCCGAGGCCGGCGAGGATCGGCGTTTGCTGTTGACTCCTTTTCCGTCTAGACTGTATCGCATGCAGACTCAAGTTGCATGAAAACACTGATGCAGGTCCACACAGATCACTCCACACACACCACCCCGTCATGGCTGCTCCATGAACACCACCCGCACTCCCTCAGGATCGATCACAGCAAAGGCAGCCGCACCGTACACCGATGTGTCACATTGCTCGCTACACAAGGGCACGCCGCTGTCCACCAGCCTCCTTTTGACAGCAGCAAGCTCATCTGCGGGAGCGAAGAAGCCGATGCCGACGAAGCCTGCCTCATTGGCCAAGTCGGGAAACGTTATAGACGCCATGGACGGGACGTGCTGAAGCTCCAGCTGGGTGTACGGCCTCTTCCTGCAGACACGCCAGCACACCCGCAGAGGATGGAGGATGACACTGGCCTGAAGTCTCCCGCCCACTTTCCTCCCTTCCTTGATCCCTGCCTACCAGAGCCATTCACGGTTTGCAACGGCATTTATGTCACTGTCGGGCGGCGACTCGCTAGTGGTTCCGAGGAAGTGCAGCACGAAGCCGTACTCATCCACCGGCTGTCTCGAGAGGTACGCCATACCCAGTACGTCACGATAGAACCGCAGCGTCTCGTCCAGCTTGGTTACACGAAGAGTGATCTGCCCCACACCGACTGACTGGCCCAGAGGATGGTCACCCTTCACATCGTTGGGCCCGATTCTCCTGACGTGTTGGTCGAAGTCGTGCTGGAGCAGCTCAATGGTGTAGCGGGCGGGGTCGGAGATGTGTGTCAGATATCCGATATCGAAGAACTGGCTGGCCTTCGACACAGAAACGCCCGCATTCCGAAGACACTCGGTGGCGAAGTCAACATCTGCACGGCACACAACGGGGGAGTGTGGATTCACGACAATCCATGCATCGTCGTTCATCTCACCTCGCAGTGCAAGCCCTATCTTCCAATATGCGTCGCTTCGCTTGTGCTTGTATGGCCCAATGCTCGTCTGACGGCCGAGCTGCAGCTCCAGCCAAGCCGACTGCGGCTGACCCTCGAAGCCCAGAAACACCGACTCGCTCACATGTGCTGCAGATGAGGTCCTCTCCGCCATAATGGACATGCCGATGCGTTGTCGATAGAAGACAACCACAGCATCCTTCTCAGCGGCACTGATGCGGAGGCTGACAAAGCCCAGACGGACTGCCATGAGAGATCTGACAGAGAAGTCGATGTAATGCTATCTGCTGAGCCTCAAGAAGCCCTGGACGCGAAGGCGGGCTTTCCCATGGCTTGCAAGCTCGCACCAGAGGGCTGGAGATCTGCCTCGTCTTCCATCTGCGCCAATTCCCCGATGCTGGCGCTCGTGGCGTCTCTTTTCACACTCAGCGGCATCTCTGCTGCCCTCTCTGCTGATATCAGCTCAGCAGCAGCCTCTCTCGGCAGGCCCATCCAGGCGCACCAGAGCGCACCCCCGCCTTCCACTGAGTCATGGCGGCCCTGGGTAGACATCGGTGATCCCAACTCGAGCCCGTGCCCGCAGCTGAGGGGGGATGCATCGCAGCGGTGCGGCTCACCTGCACTGCCCTCAAACATCGGGGTGGACGAGGATGCTGCTCTCAGGTCAGTCAGACCTGAACATGCAGTCGCGTATCGTATTGTGACGGCAGCTTCTGATCTTCTGTGCAGGGCGTCGAAGTTCCCCATCCCGCCCGACGAGCTGATCAACCTGGCGAAGTTCTTTCTCGTTAAGAACCTCTGGAACATCACAGTACCAGGTAAGTGTGTGGCATGCGACGAGTCAGCTGCAAATGCACACGTGGGGAGGGATACTTGCACGGCCGCGTGTCGCAAATTCGCTCAGATTTGATAGCGGATGACTTCGTGTTCACCGGCCCGTTTGTGGGTCCGTTGACCAAGTGGGAGTTGGCGGCCGCCCTCGACGGCTTCCAGCTGATGGCCGCATTCCCAGACCTCCGAACCAACGTGTACAACTTCAGGTCAGGCGGGGCGGCCACCGAGACAGACAGACAGACAGACAGGCAGACGGATCACTTGATGCGAGCGACTGGCTGGCTGGCTGGTTGGCTGGCTTGCTGGGTGGCCTGGCTTGTGTGTGGCTGTAGGGTTGACCCCCTGGAGCCGAACAAAGTGTGGTATTTTAGCCGTGCAGTCGGTAAGTAAGGAGGGGCGAGTCCGCCTGACTGGCCAAATGGGCTGACTGAGTGCGGTTGAATGCAATGCATGGGTATGGGATGGGTCCTTTGCCCATGCAGGCACCCACATCGGCACCCTCCGGCTGTCGCAGCTTTCATTCAGTAAGACCAAACGAATCAGACATCATTCGGGTGCCCACCACCACATAGCTGCTGTCCTTGTGTGTGTGTGTGTGTTGTGTGTGTTGTGTAGTTGGGAACGCCCGGCCGACGGGCAAGACAGTTCGTGTGTCCCCCCAGTGCTGCAGCCTCACCTTCAACGAAGACGGCAAAGTCACCAAATGGACCATCGGGTACCAGTGCAGTGCAGTGCAGTGCAGTGCACTGATTGGGCACTCAACTCACTTACACGGTTATGTGCAGTGCAACTGAAGTGCATTCACTGGTTTGCTGAACAGGTATGTGATTGACAAAACTGCGGGGGACACCGGCACCTTGGGCGGCATCTTGGCCTTCTTGTACGGCATCGGCAAGCCATTCCCGGGCCCGGAAGGCAAACCCTGGAAGCCATCCTTCAAATACAAGTCAGACACCTGAAGGAAGCAAGGCGTCGTGTGTGATGTGAAGAGAAGGTCCTTTGGTGTGTGTGTGTGTGTGTGTGGTTTCTGCAGGCTGCTCATGCGGCTGGCTGCAATGCAGAAGCAGAAGCAGCAGCAGCAGAAGAACAAGTGACGACACCATGTGCTTGCTGGTGTGAGAGGCGATGCTGCTCGAGCCAGGAAGGTTTTTCTGTCTATCTGTGTTGATTTATGTCCTCTGTCTGTCTGAGTGATGAGATAGATAGATGAGTGTGAGGGGGCCTACACGGCCATGGATGCGGTTCTCCCTTTTGCCCAAATGCAGTCAGTCAGTCTTTGTCGCTCATCGGCTATCGGCCAGCATTGGTGTAGACCGCTCCGAACTCGGAGGCGCTGCCTTCAGTCGAATGGCGTCTCCCGGGTTGGAGCGGTGTTGCAATCCAATCCATGCAGTCGATAGCTAGCTGACGACAGTAACGGCAGAAGACTTGTATTATCGTGGTTTGGATGAGGTGGCAGACTGGTCACGGCCTGTGCGACATGGAAGTGATCGATGACCTGCGTGTTCGTCGGTGGAACTACTCGTGACTGACAGACAGACAGACAGACAGACAGACAGACAGAGAGACGCTCCATTCTGTAAGTGACGCGAGACAGACAGCTATTAGTGACTCTCATGAAGGCAGGCGGGCAGGCCTCTGATGATGGAATGGATGGATGGAGTTACATACGTAAACGTCATGCACTCACGATTGTCAACGAGCACAATCCTTGAATGGGCACTCACTGATCCACTCACTCCATGACAAAAACTCACGGACGCAGCCGTGTCAAGTCAGTCAACGGTCCACGCATACATAAGAGTGCCAATCCGATACATACACAGCTGTAAGGTCTGTCTGTCTATCTATCTGAGTTTGACTCGTGCCTCATACATTGTATATATCAACAAGGAGGGAGGCCATGTGATCGAGGGAGGGAGCTAAGTAGTATCGTGTGTCACTGGTGGAGGTAGTTCGCCACCAGCAGCAGGTCCAACACTATCTCGTCGTCAATCTCAAAGTCAGGGATGGCCTCCCTGACACACAACACCACACCACATCACACCGCCCAGCACCAACAGCATGCGCCACACACACGTGTGTCCGTCGCGTGTGTGAGGTGCGCTCGTCTCGCACCGCACCTGCTGTCGGTGTGTTTGTGTTTGTAGTAGAGGTACTGGATGACCTTTTCGAGCAAGCGGGAGTTGATCGTCTGGAAGTTGATCGCACCCGTCTGGCCCTCGGTGAAACTGTGACTCTTCTCACCTGTACAGGTGGGGACAGGGAGGGACAGAGCCACACACACGCACGCACGCACGCACGCACAGACAGACAGACAGACAGACATCGCGTCAAGCCGACGACCGGCATGGATCAGGTCTGTCGTGGCGTGGCGCCCACCGTCGAACATGGTCCGGATCATTTCGCACCCGAAGGCTATCTTCTTGTCCAGAAAGAACTCATGACCCTCAGCACTGCACCAGACAATGCAACACAACACACGACATGCACAGGCAAGCAGCAACAGTGGAGATCTCGTCTTTTCCCTTCGATGTCTGTCTGGTTCATGTTGCCATCCATCGATTGTGCACACCTGACCTGATGAGCTTGAGGTAGTCAAACTCCTCCTCTGGCGGAGAGGCGGACGACGAAGACGCCATGTTGCGCACTCTGCTCACCGCAAAGTCGAATTCGCTTCTCTGCTGCACAGACGAAGTGCTCGATGGCCTCAGCTTTGCTGCAAGGCGCCGATTTGAGGTGGCCTCCCCGAGAGAGAGCGGTTTCACGGAACTTGGATGCATATATGCGAGCTTGGCTTGCAAAGGAGGAAAGTGTGGCTTCATCACCCGAGGCCTTCTGATCCATTGATTCATCTCGCTCTGCGGCGAGTGTTCTGTGGGATCTTTACTGAGGGCTGTGCATGAGCCCCGTGCTGCCCCTGTTGCTGTCGGCGTTCGTATCCATCCCAGGCTGTCAGCATCGCCACTTCAACCCTGCCAGATCCCAACTGGCATCATCTCTGCCTTGGCGTGTGTCGGATCTAGTGAGGATGGGCCGCAAGGAGGAGCTGGATTCCATCATCAAGTTCCTGCAGATATGCGGCAAACTCAAGGTAGGTGAGCGGACCAAGCTTGAACGATGAGACAACAGCAGGCAAGACAAGACATTCGCTTGGGATGTGACGATTGCTGTTGTCGTGCACTGCAGCGGGTGAAGCGGACTGGGTGGGTCAGAGCTGGCGTCGAGCAACGTGACCAGACACACAAAGACACATGAATGAAGGGTCGTCTTGATCGTTGGTTGCTTCCTGTGTGTGTGTGTGTTTGGTCTTCTCTCAGCTGAGTCGGTGGCCGAGCACATGTACCGGATGGCGATGGCGTGTTTCCTGTTGCCGACAGCCACAGCAGACAGAAACAAGTAAGGTGCAGACATGTCTGCAGTATGGTGGTACCGTACCTCGCTTGCACCTGACGTAGGTACCGCCATGCACACACGACACGTCTGTGTTGTGCGTGTGCTACGGCCTGTCGGTCAGGTGTGTCAAGATGGCATTGGTCCACGACCTGGCAGAGTGGAGCGTCGGTGAGAATTACACACATTGCATCACCTCCATGCACACACACATGTGCCCGCCCACACAGGCGCTGCTGTGACCTTGCTTGCTGTGGTGTGCAGGTGACATCACGCCCTTCTGCGGCGTACCGAAGGAAGAGAAGAGCCGACGGGAGAAGGTGGGTACGATGGGTGGGCATTCAACCAGACCAGACAGAAAGGCTGCACACATATATAATGCTGCACTCACTGCATGTTGGTTGTATGGTGTTTGCCATCCCATCCGTGTGTGCAGGCTGCGATGGCTGAGGTGCGTGACCTGGTCGGGGGCGATGCGGGTGAGTGAGCCACCCACCACAGCACAAGGAAGGAAGCACACATAGTGGTGGGGTGCCCGCCGCTTTTCGTGTCGCGTCTGTCAGGGCAGGAAATCTTCGACCTGTGGCTAGAATATGAAATGGGTGGGCAGGCGAGAGACTCAGCCAAAACACGCGTAATTCGTGTGTCTTTATGTGGGCCGTGTGTGTAACATCCATCCGTCGTGTGTCAGGTACGAGTGAGGAGGCCCGCTTCGTGCGGGACATCGACAAGTTCGAAATGGTGCTACAGGCATTCGAATACGAAACAGGTGCGGTGTACGCAGACAGACAGAGAGGGAGGGAGTGGGAGCGGGGAGCGAGTGCCGCATCGACACATACCAACCTGTGTGCCGACATACCTGTGCTCACGAACAGAGCAAAAGCTCGAGCTGCCATCTTTCTACGATACCACCAGGTGACAGCATGCATGTCGGCAAGAGAGAATTTCCACCTCACCTTCCTTGCCGCATGTGGCGCGTGTGTGTGCGCAGAGGTGTGTTCAAGACAGATCTCTTCAGATCCCTCGACCAGCACGTCCGCGACATGCGTGACACGGCACCACGGACATCCTGAGCGCCACGGTGGTCTGAGCCGATAGGCGGAGGGAGGGCGGGGAAGATGATGTTGGTGTGGTGTGGTGTGAGGGGCCGGTCCTGCGCGGCTGAATGAATTGGATGGCGTGGGTCGTCTTCGGAGAGGGGGGACGGGCGAGAGTGGAGTGAGTGGATGTGTAGATACGCGCGCTGCAGCCCATTTTGCCGGTGGGGACGGGGCGTGCATCATGATGACATTGCCGAGACTGCCAACTAGGTTTTTCGTGTGACTGAGTGTAGTGGGTTCTTTTGAATCATCCTTCCGTGGTGCACTGGCTGGCGCTCTTCGTTGATTGATCGGTCCGTTGGTCCTCCCATCCACTCATTCACTCGTCCACTCACCCACCCCCATACAGGCAGTCGTCCAGTCACTGCCTATCCAGTCCACTGGTGCGACAGGTCACTTGCAGCCAGACAGCCACACACCCATCCATCCAGGCAGGCAGACCTCACACACACACACGGAAAGAAAACTCGTATTCTACACGGGGCAGCGAACGAGTCAGTCAGGCCATCCAGTCAGTCAGTCAGTCATCCGCCACCCACCCACTCTGTATGTTAACCACACGCAGAGCGGCGGGCGACGGGCGGGCGGGCACTCACACACACCGGCCGACAGACAGACGGGCGAAAAACAGAAAGAGGACGGGGCTGCGCTGCGCTCTCTCTCACTCACTCGGCCGTCCATCCATCCATCCATCCGTGCATCGATCCGATCGTGTGTATGTGTGTGTGTATCTTATCAGCCGTGCCAGTGCGTGTCGGTCGGTGTGTGTATCATTCATGCCATGCCATGTATGCATGTGTGTATGTCTATCTAGTTATCTACGCGGATTTGGATGCCTTGCGCGCCTTGCTCTTGCTCTTGGCCTTAGACTTGGTCTTGGGCTTGGACTTGGAGATGGTCTTCTTGGCCTTGGCCTTGGCCGACTTCTTGGCGCTCGCCCTCTTGGCCTTGGCTTTGCTCTTGGGCTTCTTCTCGGGCTCCGCTGCGCCAAGCCATCCATCGTACATAAATACATACAAGGAGACAGACAGACAGACAGACAGACAGACACAGAGAGAGGGATTGGGGTGATTGGGGAGGGGTTCTGACCTTCAACGAACACATAGGTACCTTCACCCAACAAATCGAAAACGGCCTGCATCTCCTCCTCCTCCTAAATGTGTCCACACACACACAAACACACGATGCAGCCAACATGAGAGAGACGATTGGTGTGTGGTTTACCGCAGCCTGGGCGGCAGCGACGGCGGCCTTCGACGCGCGCTTCGACGGGGTCTTCTTGGGCGTTGCCTTCTTCGGGCTGCAAATACAGCACTCCACATATGCATGGGGCCGTATTGTGTCTTGCGCTGGAATTTGTTGATCTCACGTGGCGGCCTTCTTGCGCGGGGTCACGGTCTTCTTGGGCGCGGCCTTCTTCGATATCCTGACACGGCACACACACGCAGACGCCACAAAAGGCTCAAAAATGCAAAGGAAACGCATCGGAAATCCTCTCTAAAAGACCCCCATGCATGCGAGAAGGAGACACGGCCTGGAAGGCCTCACTTTTCTGCCCTTTTCTCTCTCAGACTGTCCTTCCTGTCGACCTACGTCTTCTTGGGCGCGGCCCTCTTGGGCTTGGCACCTGCAGCACACACAGCAACGACCGAAATGACGTCCCGCCAACATGGGGGCTCACGAGAATGCACGAATACGGCACGAAACGACCTCCTTTCTTCGCATTTTTGTCATTCTCACCGGCAGTCCTCGTGGCAACAGCTCTGGCGACCATTTTGATACGATGGGAGAGGCCTCAGCGATACGACAACGTCAACACTCAGCTCAGACAGGGGGAGCGACGGTCAGGGCGGTAGCCGGGGGACCGGGGATGCACAACAAGCGGTACGAACGGCGAACAGACGCGGAACAAGCTTCACACAAAGGCTTCAAAAGCAGGGAGGGCCCCCACGGTCTGGTTTCACGGAAAAAGCGATCTTCAAGTTGTCCGCTCCCCCTCCGGTCCACCGTCGGGCAGCGTACTGTACTGTCTGCACGGCGCATAGATGGCACCGAAATTGCGGTTTGGTTCGAACCCACTTTTCTTTTTGCTCCCTGGCCGAGCGCTGCTTCTTTCTGCGTCGCTCAAGGACGAGCAGATCCCGGCTATCCACGTGCACGGGCGGCATGATGGCGCACTGTCGACACCCATCCAAAGGTGTTCTCTGGTAGTGTGCAGCTTCCAACGACCTTTTTTGATGGATGGATTGATGGATGGATGATGCTGGGGCTCATCTTCCCAACAAAATCGGCCCGGCGGCGCAAAGAAGCAACCCCCTCAGCCCCTTCAGTCATGTGGCGTCATGCTGAAGGCACGCCTGCTCTTGTCTGGTAAGGATAAGGACACGCTGCATCCACTCAATGTGGTCTGTTCTGTGTGTTTGCAGCGTTTTGGCGCGCTCGGGTCGGGTGAGGCTGCACTGCCGTCGGGAGGTGCCTTTGATTCGTAAGATGGCATTGCAATGCCGCACCTCGCTGCGCTGTCTTGTGCGCCCATCTCGACCCACTCTCTTCCTGAGGCCACCAAGCCGTCCAGCTGATTCTGCACCGAGGCCGTGGGGATTCTGTCAGGCTCTGTGCGACATGAGCGGCAGCTGCTTCGCCAACACCAACACCACCCTGCAGTCTGTCAATGTTGCCATCCTCCTCTGCAGGCTGGGTGTGCACACGGGCACAGCTCATGATGGGCACCTGCGGACACGACACTGCTGCTGGTTGTCTGCTGTATGTGTCTCCTGGGCTCTCATAGCATATGGATGTGCTGTGGACTCGGTGTGGAGGCTTCGTGAGGACACGGTCGAAGAAAGGTGAGATGGTGCGATGACGAACAGACCGCACTGTGCTGATCTTCGTGCGTGTGTCCTTCGTTTCTCTTCTGCAGGCCATCGAGCTCCGTCCTTATCGGTCGGATACGACATGGTGCTGCACGTCTGCAGAACATCTGAGGTATGCTACCTCTGCCAAGACACCGTCAGACGGTGAGATGGCACCGCACATCACATCATCTCCTGCCATGAATGTCCTTCATTTCCCTTCTTCAGCTGCTGTTGACCACATTGACTTGACTGGGCGACGTAATAGGCGTGCATGGGACGCCTTCGGCGGAAGTGTGCAGAAAGATGAGGCAGAAACGTCTGTCTGCCCCTGTTGTGGTTGATGACTGTCGACATGATGTCCATCTTTCCTATGATGCCCTGAGGCTCCACTTTGTGGACAGGCGATTGATGGGGCACAGGGGCCGAGTAGTATGCATATGAGGTGTCTATGTCTTGGCCTCCCTCCCTGCCTTGATGCTGTGGTTCTATCGGTGTGCCTGCTCTGTCTGCGTGGCCTGCGTGTTTCCTTAAGTTGTACCCTGCATGTATCGACACGTGATTGACGGAAGGACTCAGGAAAGGACGGACGGGGGGGGAACCCCTGCGTGCGGCTTTTTTCAGCCAAATTTCGCCGGACGTAGCCAGCGGAGTAGACACGTGAAACATCCAGTGTGGCATGGCTCGGTGGCTCTTTAACGCTTGTTGCTGTTCTTCCTGGCTGCACTCGCAGATCTGTATGACACCTCTGGGCATTCGGCCTCCAGCAGGGGGGGGAAGGCCCAGCAAAGGACCTATGTGCGGCACCATTTTCCCCTTCGTTTTGTGCTGCAAGGCGGTCCCTGCGCGATTTTCTTTCTGAATACGGATCTGTACACACCTGGCAGGCCGGCCACGCTGGCAGGAGCCGCAAACAATGAAACGAAAAAAATAAGCTCGCACCGATCGCTAAGGAAAATCCGCTGCGAGTAGACACCTCAGGGGTGAGAAAGGCTTCTTTGGGCTTCTCGTGTTTTTCGGCGTCTGCACGGCCGACGTCGTTTCTGCCACTTCTAGTCGGTTCCGAGGATCCCTCCCGACCTCTCTAGCGTCGCAAGGCGTCCAGCCTCCCTGGTACACCACCCCACGACACCTCACTCGCACCCTTACCCTACAGTGGGATTCTGACCCATCCGATGACTTGCGTCGCTGCACCTGCCCCTCCCCGCCTTCCCACACCCCTCACGCGCCTCTCTGTGGTGTCTCTCGTGTCCTTCAGTGTTGACGATGGCCAAGGGTGCTGCCAAGGGGAAGGCCAAGTCCAAGGCCAAGTCTGACGAGCCCAAGGAGAAGAAAGTCAAGGTATACGGCGCACAGGGGGCGGGGGATGACGCCCGCGGCGGCATCTTCCATCCGCCGGCCTGCTTGGCGCGATTTGATTTGTACTGAGCGAACCCATTGTGTTGTGTGTGTGGTGTGTTGTGGTGTGTGTTGGTGCGTTCAGGACAAGGATGCGCCCAAGAAGGGCAGGTCGGCATACATCTTCTTCACGATGGACCGGCGCGAGGAGCTCGTCGCTGAGAACCCAGACCTCAAGGGCAGCGTCACGGTACGAGCACTTCTCACCTCACGCACTCACACAGTGCTGTGATGCTCCGTCTGCCCATCGTATCGTGTGTGCGTGTGGTTGTTGCGTTGTGTGTATCTCAGGAGGTGTCCAAGATTCTGGGCGCCGAGTGGAAGAAGATGACGGATAAGCAGAAGAAGCCCTACGAGGACCAGGCCAAGAAGGACAAGGTCACACCATTAGATAGGGGGAGCGGAAGGCATTCACTAACACATTCTCTGCCTGCCTGCCTGTGTGTGCGTGCGTGTGTGTGTGTGTGGTGTGTCAGGAGCGTTACGAGAAAGAGAAGGAGAAGTACGAGAAGAAGAAGTAAACCTCCACACCTCATCCGCTAGCACGCATACGTATGACTGGCTGGCCGGCTGGCTGCATGGATCACTGACTGACTGGATGGGTGGATGGATGGACATAGGCAGATAGATAGCTACCTGGAGCGATGTGCTGCGCGCCACACACATGGACACACACCACACACACACATCGTCTCCTCTCCTTCTCTATACTATCATACCTACCGAGCTCCTGGCTTCCCCTCTCTGCCTGCCCGGCCGGCTGTAGAGGGGGTGGGTGGGTGGGTGCATCGCTGGATGGGTGGCTGGTGCCTGGTTCCGTGTGTATGTGTGTCTTGTTTGTTTCGCGTGTTCGGGGTGCGGTGGTGCGGGGTGGTCGGCTGCCTTGCTCTTCTCGACTCGCCTCGCCCTGTAGAGAAAGCACATTCCTGCTTGCCTGCCTGAGTGATAGTGAAGGGTACGATGCGCATGGACTGCATACATGGATGGCGGATGGATGGATGGGTGGGTGGCCTGGCTGACGGGGGAGGGGATAGCTAGACAGCGGCGGATGGCAGAGAGGAAGGAGAAGAAAAGACTGTGCTTACGCAATGACTGATAGTCTGTCTGCCTTGCCAACTCATTCGCGCTCTTTCTCTCTTGGCTGCTACTAACACCGCACACACACACACACACACACGCACACACATACCCACACGCTGGTTGCACAAAGACAGACAGACAGACAGACCGAATGCATGTGACCGGCAGACAATTAGGAGCGGCCTAAAGCTCGCTCATGACCTGCCTGCCTGCCTTGCCTGTCTGTCTGCCCCTCCGTCACGCCACGCCACGCCACACCAACCGGACTAGCCTGCCTGCCTGCCTCCGTGGCTCGTGCCTTGTATATTGACTGACTGACTGGCCGACTCGTTTACTTACTAGAGTGTGGTGGTGCCGTGCTTGCCCGTTTGGATGGGATCAATGGAATGGATGGATGGATGGACCAACGAGACCGTGTGTGTACGTATGTGTGGTTTTAACTAACGCGGCTGTGGAAGTTTGTATGGCGTGTGCAAGAGAAAACTCACTCACTGGATTTGTTGCAATTGCATTGCACGCGCCATGCAGACAGACACGCAAGCCGTCACAGTCATTCACTCACCCACCCGCCATTCATACACTCACTCCCACACGCGCCAGTTACAAGACACGCCATACTCACACGCACACCCGCCATGCTCTCATTCAGTGCGGCCAAGCACCCGCCACACGCTGAGTCCGCCCGCCTTTCAGACTGCACGACCAACTGCCACCCAGTCACCTAGTCGCATACATATCCCCCCGACTACGAACCATGGTGGACCTGAGGGAAAGAGACCTGAGGGAAAGAGACACACACACACACAAGAACACAAGAACACACCCGACCGTGCGTTCAGCGGACTGCTCAACTGTTTGATAGCGTGTACGTACGTACGTACCTACTGAACAATGAATGATGAATGAGCACGTGAAGGTGGGTGTTTGCGGTGGATGGATGCACGGAGCCAGACGGATGGGATGAGTGGACCAACAAGACAAGACCCTGTGTGTCTGATTTTAACGCGCCTCTGGAGGTTTCTTTGTGACCAAAACACGCGAGCCATCACCGTCAGTCACTCCCACAGACGCCAGTTATACTATACACACACGCCATGCTCACTCATTCAGTCCGCCCGACCACCAACACGCGCAGTCCACCCGCGCCCCAGCCCTATCAGACCAATCAGACGAATCTCGCTCAGGGCATCCTATGCATCTCATTTGGTATCCCACATCCGACACTGCCATCGGTGGGCTCGTGGCCCTACACACACACGTGTTCAGGCTGAGGGAAAGAGACACGACCCATCCCCATGTGTGTACTGCTTGCCTGTGTCACGTATTTGGTAGTTATGGTCGTTCGGTAGTGGCCTGACCATGCATACACACATTCAAGGGAAGACACGTGCAATGCGGTGCAGTGGGTGAGGCGACTGACGGTGCTGAGCACCGAATCGTCTTGGGGAGTGGTGCCCATTGCTGTGGCCTCCAGGTGATCGTCCTGTTCGACGTAGGCCGCCGCCACCTCCTGTGCCCTCGCGATCGCCTCGTCCAGCTGCCGTGCCTCCCCCTCCGCCTCTCCTTGTGCAAGGAGGTCCTCGAGCGTCTCCTCCAGCCCGGCCACATCGACTGCCTCCTCGACCTCGAGAGGCAGCCACGGCGCGAAGCGACCTGGCCCCAGTGCTATGTCAGCTGGGGGAGTCTTGATCGTCTGATGGATGATGGCGCTGCACCTGAGGTCGATCTTCCAGTCCAGCCGCTCCTCGTAGCCCCTCCACTGCGTGTGCACACACGGATGGACAGACAGAATGGAGAGAGGCACGTATCGTATACAGGTGGGGGTGGGGTGAAGGGTGGGAGGATGCGTGGCGGGGATGGTGCTCACCTCCGTCTGCTCGGCCTCGTTCTGACACAAACACACACAGGTGCACAGCACACAGAAACACAGAAGATCGACAGATACTGTAATGGCGGCACGATGGAGCATCTGGGTGCCCCAACCCCTTTACTCTACCACGCGTCTCGACACAGTGGCCCACTGCTGGCGCTCCGCGAAGTCGTCGACCTGGTCGTCCTAGGCCGCAGTGATACGCTGCCACTGCGGAGAGCCGCCCTTGTCGGGTGGCACACCTGCAAGCCCACACAAAACAGCACACGACGTGCAAGCCACCATGTGGCACTGATGTGTTCATCTTACGATCGACAGGTGCTTGAATCGGCGCCGCACGAGGGCCAGAGATGCGTCTGGCTTCAGCCCCAACGCCTCGTGCATGTCTGCCTGCATCCTGGTGCGCCGCATGCGCCTCATGAGGCGGAGTTGCGGGAACACCTCATACAGCAGGGGTGTCGGCAGAGAGAGGGTGAGGTCAACGGGCAGCAGAAAGAGGACGTGTCCGAGAAGATGGACCCGCTGCATCGGCGACAGACCCACACACACACACGTGTGGACTCCCTCAGTCCCTCTCTCTCTCTCTCTCTCTGTCTGTGTGTGTGTGTGTGTGTGTCGTGTCTCTTTGCCTCTTTGAAGAATTTGGCGTCTTTCTTGAACAGTCCGGAGTTGTCCTTCATGGCTGATACGGCGAGAATGCCGCTGCTGCACACACCAGATCGGACCTGAAAAACACCGGCCGATGGACACAGACACACACACACACACTCCCTCTGTGGTATCCATGCGCACCTTGCCGATATCAGGGCGGTCGAGGGCGCGTCCATCCTCACTGTCCGACTGCTCAGCCCTCGAGCCAGTCCCCCTACACCAAGGGAAGCTAAGGAAGCATCGCTGACACACAGAAGTGACAGAACAACATGCATACACTTGTATCAATATTGGTTTTGGTCTGTTTCATCGAGTCGTACGCGTATCGACGGCAGGCACCCGCCCCGTGAGACACCATACTCTTCCTCCGCCTGATCCTCCCTGCACACCTCATCCATCGCACCACGAATGCTCGGCTGCTCGCCAATCGAGAGGGACAGAGAAACCACACAGACGCCGCATGAGCCGACACAAACACATACACACACACACACACACAGGGTGGTCACTCACCTGTGTGTGTAGTGATTTGGCTCCTGCGATGAGTGGGCCGGCTACAGCTACGTGACCATCAGAGGCACCCTCGCGAAAGCCCGACAACTCCACGGCCATGGTCTTGCGTGTCATGGGAGAGAGAGCGCCGCTCAGAGCGGGTGAGCTGGTGCTGGTGTCTGGGTGTGGATGAGGCTGCTGGGGTGGGTCGAGAGGGGGACAGTAGGACGTGACCAGCCCTTTTGGCAGCGGGGGCCGTCCTCTCAACAGCATCTGTGTGCATGTCTTCTCCACTCCACCCATTCCTAAACACAAGGAGCCCTGAGTGAGCCCATGGAAAACAAGAACACACGTGGCAGATTCTGGGAGGTATTGGTTACTCTTACTATGCTCTTATCACGGCGTTGTTTGGGCGTTGCGAAGGCCTTGCTAAACTCCAGAGGGTCACCCTGTGCAAAGACGACAGACAGCAGAGTCCACTGATGTGCGCGAGCACTGCAGCTTAGCCATCACATGAAGTGCATACCAGCCAGTCACATGCGACTCTGGTGGCGGTGAGCTGGAGAAGGGAAGTGATGTTGAGGTAGTCCGCCGCCTGCAATACGTGCAGGACACCAAACATGTATGATCTTTGTGCTCTCTCCGTCGGCGTGCGTCCATATTTGTGTGGCCTCCCGCACGTAAGTACCTCCATCATGTCCAAGAGTGTCTGCCGGTCCATGAGCGTGATGAAGATGCCATCCCATCTGTCCGACACAGCCTTACAAACAACACCACACAACGAATGAGCCAGGCCACTCCATAGGCTCATCCTCATCCCTCTGACTTTCTGGACTCGGTGCGACTGGACAGCTTTGGGCATTGCACTGGAAGGCTCCCGCGTGTCGTTGCTGTGGTGCTCACAATACGCAAACACCCACGACAGAACATCCTTGCTAAAGATCTTCAACGGCACCGCTTCATGGGAGTCTGCGAGGGCCACATACACGATCTACCATTGGCAAGGGTGGGATCTTTGTCCACTTGGCGGACCTCCTTCCGACATGTCTGCGATAACGTCCGACATCTGACGAGCTGCATCGCGATGCACGCACAGCAGGCCATCTTTCGCTACAATCGTAAGGAGGCGCCTTTCCTCAACACCGTCCACCACTGAACCATCCATCACGCACGGGACCAAACCTCCTCACCAACCAGGTAAATTTAATCGGCCGCGAGGCTGCCTGCCCAATCCAGAATGGTCCATCTGAGAATATCTTTCATCGGTCCGCTCTTTCACAGAGGGGTGCTTCATCGTCTTGCGGTCATTTTGTGCCATGAATGGTCTTTGGGAGGTGACGCGGTTATCCGACCCGTTTTTGACTGCGTACAGAACTCAGCTGGCTCACATACACAACTGACCCGTTTATGCGGTGACCCACTTACGCGGACTGGACTGTAGGCCTCCCGCGGGACTTTGATTCTTTGATTCTCGGCATGGAGAGAACAGCGTGACATTAACATACTTGCAGTCCACGCCCGATCCGGCTCACTGTCTACTACTACCGGCACTGCTAGTTCTAGACGCCCTCTCCTCCCCCTCCCCCTCCCCCTCCCTCTCCCCGTCCCCGTCCCCTTCCCCCTCCTCTGCTCGCTTCTCCTCCCGCCTCTCTACCGTCAGCAAGTGCTGCCGCCCATCCACAATCGCACGAAACGCATCATACGACATGCCATGAAGTGAGGCCGACCCTTTCCGACCCTCGCTGCTCCGCCTGCGAGACGCCGATATGGCGGATGACGATGAGCTGAGGTGCATGGGGGGCTTGAGAGACGTGCCTCTCGACTGCATCAAACAAGCACGCACAGCACTGCTTCAGAGAGACATGGGATCTCAAGTGCAGACTTCACCTGTAGTACGAGTCTGTTGGCAAAGGTGATGACACTGATTGCCGTGGCCATTGAGAGGGTGTGTGGGTGGTCGAGGGAGCCGTTCGCAAACTTGGTCAAGTGGCTGAAGTATGTGCGGAAGTCGATATCGTTGGCTGGGGGACGGGAATCTTCAGCAGCCGATTGTATGCCATCGGTTGCTGGTGCAGGGGTGGCAGGGGCGGGGGATGAGAGTACGGTGAAGAGCTCATGCATGAACTTGTCCTCCAAATCGTTCACTTCCTGCAGACAGACAAAGAGGCAGGTTGAAAAGTGTCGACCGCGAGCCACCATGTCCTTGTTCACCTTGTATCGCTTCTGCTCATAGTTGTGGAGCTTCCTGTTGATGACTTCCCTGGCGTGAGCTGACAAAGGCGGCTGTGGTGGCGGCTTCGGAGGCTCCTCAAATGCCTCGGGCGGCAGAGACAGCTGGGGGCCAGCCAACGGGCCGTGACCTGCATCGATCGACGGAGACACACATTGAAAAAACTGCGAGACATGTCGGTGTGTCGTCCTACCTACCTACCAGATGAGGCGTCCGATCGTACGCTGTCTTTTCGGATGGCAGGCTGCCGCTCGGACCTCAGAGGCGACTGGTACTGCATGACTGATCCCCTCCGGCTTTTGCCGGATGAGTGGCTCGTGTGTCTTGAGTAGGTGGGCATCCCCAGGTCAGGAGCTGCGGCGAGCACACTGCCGCGCCTCCTCTGGCCATTGCCAACCGGATTCTCGCCGCTGAAGGACAATTGCACGCATGGATGACTTACAAGGGCTTGTGAAGACAGACAAGTGTGTGTGTGGTTTGGTGTGTGGTAGACGGACGTACACGCCTTTGATGAAGGCATCGATCCTATAGAAGAGGTCATCAAGCGATTGCTGCAGTCAGCAAGGCCACACATGCCAACACCAAATGTACGTCACATTCCCATGATAATCAGTAATCCGCTTCTATTAGCGCTCACTCACTGCCGCGAGCAACTCGATGTTTGCGCCCTCGTCTGCAGCAGGAGGGCGACACGACAAGTCACGCATACATGAGTACCACCAGTTTTTGAGCCTGCGAATGCCTCTCACCTTTGTCGGCCTCCCCCGCCTCGGCCTGTTTGAGGTGTCTCTGCCTCCATAGCAGCTCACCAGGTGTGTGGGAACCAACTAATCCACTGCCCTGACGCCAACACAGAAACGGAAGCGAGACACAACCATCCAACACTGTCAGTCTGTATGGAGGTCTTTCTTTCCCTTTCCCTACCACGAACTTGTGGACGTCGTCTATGGTGAGCGTCCCATCGCCGTCCCAATCCATCTGCAGGTGGAGGCACAACAGGGACAGGCAGCAGAATGAACCCCACCGAATCCCCGTGCCTGGCTGGCGTCGTCTCCCTCTTCCTTTTACATAGTGCAGGAGGTCCTTGAGCTGCGTGAGGGATATGTTCTTGGTGTTGCAGAGGTCGCGCAACCACCGTTTGAGGTTCCGAGGGCTCAGTCGCCCCAGGTGATCTGTGCAAACGGAGAACATGCAGGAGATATAATGCATGAGTTGTGGGTGCCTGGGTCTGTCTGTGCCCTTTTTTCTGGGTTGCCGACCCAGAAGGAATGAGACGCCGAGCTCACACTCGGCAGGGGTCAGCTTGACGAAGGCAAGAGGCACCGCATCCGGCCCTCCATCCTCACCAGCGGCAGCGGGCTGAGCCCCTTTCTCGGTTGGACTCTCACTTCCCATCCGACGCACCTGTCCTGTTTTCGGGTAGCAAGCAGCAAGCAGAGCGAAAAGGTTCCGAAAGGAAGGTGCGCGAGCTTGAGAGTGGCGAGCTGAGGAGAGAAGGAAGGGTGTTTTGAGGTCTTTTTTGATGAGTTTTAATCACTTTTGCATAGGCAAGACAAGCGTAGGCGGCCGAAGCCATGATCTGGGTCGAACAAGCATCGATCTGTAACGGCTGCGAGAGATTCTCGCCAGCGACGTCTGGCTTCGTCCAGCAGCTTGGGGAAGGCAGAGAGGATGAGGGATGAGGAGGGCACGCTGGCCGCTGCTGACCCCGAATGACATCTCGTCACCCCAAAGCAGAAGCGCCAATTTCTCCTGCGCCTCCCAGCCCTGTCCTCACGCCCAGAATCGACAGAGAGGATGAATTCTCGAGGTCAGCGAGGGAAGAGAGAGGGCACATACTCTTGGGGCAGCTGTGAGTGTTGTGGGGACGAAGAATGCTCACATCGTCCCCTTGTGTGTTGTGCGTGTATGTGCTCTGTGCAGGGCAGCGGTGGTGGAGGCTGGAGGCGAGCGCACGTTAGCATTCCCCAAATCTCCCTCCCCTCCTGGTGAGAGAAAGAGAGAAAGAGGCACTGCACCCACCTTTGCGAAGCCCTGCCTGGATGACACCACACAACACGACAATCACCCACGTATTGGAGATTGTCTGCCTGTATGTGGTTCTTGGTGCGTATAGATCCGTTGCCGTCGCCTCCGGCCCCCCCGCAGATCAAGTATCGTGTGCGGGCGTCGGGCGCACCCCCTATGCTCGGGCTGAGAGAGAGTGGTGCTGGTGCAGCCGACACGATCCCGCCCCCCCGCGCCCGACACCCCTCTCCCGGCCCCAGCCCTTCCCCACCTCGCTCCCTCAGGCCCTCCTCTGCCGTAGCGAAATCCGTACGATGGAGGGACCAGGTCGGCGGGGACGCTGCGACGCCCTATAACATGTCGGCCGACTTGATAGCCATCCAGTCAGACACCGGCTCCGACAGGGCCACCGAGCACTGCCCCTGCTGCCAGTCGTGTGCTGATGTGGTCCTGCCCAAGACGGCCGACAAGGCGGTGCAGTCGCCCTTGCCCAAGCAGGTGCTGCCGCCGCCGCCGCCCCGGGCCGGCCGCTATATGGCCTACCAGCATCGGTCGAGGGACGGGGGAGTGTTCGACTTCGATATTGACGACATATGCGACATTGTCGAGGGCGACGCGGCCACGCCACACCAGCCCTTTCTCGACGTCCCCGCTCGCTTCGTGGAGCTTGAGTCAGACGCGAGCAACTTCGCCCCCATCCCACCCCACCTGCCGCCCGGCGACTCCCCCCGCCCACCGGAGTCCGTCATCGCCACGACCAACGTCTTCACCCTCACCGTCGACGACATTCTCAACATCACGGCCGTCACACCACCGCAGTCACGGCCGGGATCCGACCGGTCCTCGCCCCCGCCATCCGAGGGCGGGGCGGTCTCGCCCGACGAGTATGACGACAAGATCGACCCTGAGGATGACGAGATGACCACCGCCCCCGCCCGCACACCCGTCACGCCTGAGGGCCAGCTGCAACCCACGCCAGCGTCCCATCGTCGGCTGGGCACTGACACGTCCGGGGTGCGGTTCCCCGGGTCGCCAGGGTCGCATTACGCGCCGGTGGAGAGCGAGAGCCCTCTTACGCAGGGCAGGTCGGCGGTGATGCTGCGGGTGGGCAATTTTTGTTTCGGGCTGGAGGATGTGATTGACATGGTGGAGGGGCAGGGCGGGGAGCCGCTGAGGGAGACGGTCAGGCGCGATACGGGCGAGTCGATGGTGCAGTACCTGCCGGATGACCTGTTCAGGCAGCTGTGGCCGTGACGTGATGCTGTGTGTGCGCGTGCGTGTGTGTGCGTGACAGAGAGAGAGAGAGATCAGATGGTATGATTTAAGCCTCGTGTGTGTGAGGTTTTGCTTCGGTCTGTGTCGGCTTATGCTAGCATGTGTTGTGATGTGGAGTAGTGGGTCGTGGTTTTGGGCGGAGTAGTACAGAGCTAGGCTAGGCTTGCGCCTCCACGCATACCTACCACCGACCCCTCCCTCATGGGATGAATGACAGCGAGCGGTGAAGAGGAGAGGAGAGGAGAGAGAGGGCAGAGAGAATTCAATCACATCAATCGATCACGCGCATATACATGCATTCGTTTATTGGTCGTGGCACGTTGCGTTGCGTGTCTGCGTGTCCGTGTGGAGTGGATGCACTGCACGAATCCGATCCACATTATATATACGTGTCTGTGTCTTGTCTGAGTGCTGCATTGCAATGCATTGATTGATTGCACGGTGATAATACTCTGTTATCACCCAATTATGTATACATATTTATCTATCTGGCTACTCACTCACCTCACCCCCTCCCTGACTCCCTGACTGACTGACTGACTGACTTTCTTGTCTGCGGTGTGAGAATGCAATGCGTTGAGCAAGGCATTCATTCATTCGGCGATCGATCCGTACAGTACACACAAAGTGCAAAGGCATGTATGCGTACGTACGTATGTTATGGGGACACCCACGCCACGCCACCCAGCCCAGCCGACCACCCCCACTCCAGCTCCCTCCCCCGACCCCCCACACCACCCCAACCCGTCCATCAATCACAGCCGTCACGTCACATCACATCCATCCCACTCACTGCTTTGTGTCTGTTTGTCTGTCTGTCTGACGTGTGTGGGTTTTGCGTCTTGATGATGGTGATGCTGTGACGTGTTCCTTGCACACTCACACACACATATACACACACACCATGATGCGATGCAATGCGTGTAGTGTGTGTATGTGTGCCTGTGTTGCCTGCTTGGTTGGGTTGGTTGTGTCATTGGTTGCGTGCTGAATGCGGCGCGCTGGGTTGGGTTGGGTGAGAGAAAGGCCTTGAGGCGTGCCGTGCGATGCGTGTCACTCACTCACTTGCATGTGATGTGCATTGCTTGGCTTGTATGGCATGGAAATGTAATGTGCCTGTCGGTTGCCATCTCAGTCAGCATGGATGGACACCACGCGCAGCCAGCCCCTAATTTTGGGTGGGCGCTCCGCGGCTTTCCATCCATCCATCCATCCATCCATCCACACCCACCCACTTACTTATTCAGTCCATGCCATGCACACACACATCATAGCATTATAGAGACAGACAACCCTGACTGACATGTATGCCTCGCCGCCGTCACATCTCTCATTTACTTACTGACTTGCTCTCTCTTTCTCTCTCTCTCTCCCCCTCGTCACTCACTCGTTCGGCGCGTTTTGTCCATGTCTGTCACTCATGTGCACACAGAACAGAACACATCAGCTGTACACACACACACACACACGTGTCGTGTACGGTACGCATTTATACGACAATTAAGATGACTTCAGTCAGCGCGCCGGATGGGATGGGATGGGACAAACAGACAGACAGGCAGACAGACAGACAGACTGTGGGGTTGGACAGACAGGTCAGGTATGGATGGCCCCAAAGCGGGGCAGTCAGTGCATTCATTCATGTGTGTGACGCTGATCGACTGCCTGGTAAGATAAGGTCTCTCTGATGTATGTAAGTAAGGCTTTTGTAAGCAAAGCAGGCCATGCAGAGAGAGACAGACAGACAGACAGACCGACAGAAATGTGCGTGGATGGATGGATGGACGGACAGATGGATGAGTGCGTGTCTCAATCAACGGATGCTTGGCCGCCGCATGATTTGCTGACGCATCCATCCCTGCATTGACCGATTGTCTCAGATGGACGGACACCGCAAGCCACCTGCCGCCGCCTTTGGCAGCTCCGCACACGACTCGGCAACCACCTGCACACCCCCACCCAC